ATCACGGCTGGTGATGTCCGGACTGTGCGTGTGGATGCCGCGACCGCGACCCCGCCCTCTGGCTAGGAGCTGATTGGGGGGGGGGGGGCGTGGCACCATCATCAAAACAACAACAACAACAACAACAACAACAACAACAACAACAACAACAACAATAATAAACAACAATAACAATACTGGCAACAACAGCAACAGCTATGCCCGTCAAAGTTTTCCCGGGCTGGTGTGGGGTATGGGAAAAGGGGGGGTGGGGTGAGATAGATAAATCTGCCCACACAGGGGGTGGGGGAGAGGCTGGGCGTGCAAGTCACTCCCGTCGGCAGCGTTCGCCCGTGGGACAAAAATGAGCCGTCTATTCTGGCTTTGTCTGCGGGAGGGCCGATTAGCGGGCCGGGGGAGCTGGGCCGGGTGGGGGTGGTGGGGAGTCTTGCGAACCATTAATTAATGTTGCGGACCGCATCGTTGCTGCGCCCCTCGTCGTATCCATTTCCCCCCTAAAGTGTAAGCAAAGCTGCTCCGGGAAGGTAACAGAAAAGAAACCCAGCGGTAGGGCCAGCTCTGCCACCCCTCCCCCCTCCCTTAAAGCATCAGGCGGCGCAAGTGAAGTGACCTCGCGCAGCAGCAGCCTGTTCGTCGATCTCACGGTCCCGCCCTGCCCTGCACACCCACACACGCACACACGCACACGCACACGCACACACACACACACACACGGCGGAGAAAAGGGCGAGAGAGGGAAAAGTAAAGCTTAACAGCCTTCTTGCGTTCGCGGGCGGCCGGGCGAGTCCGGGCAGCCGAGGGGCCGCCGGGGCCGGGCACCCGCCGCCTCTGCACCTCGCCCTTGTTACGAATTCCGTTTCACGCGTGGAGCAACCCCCCTCCCCGAGTACTTCCCTTGGCCGCCCGCCGCCCTCCACCCCTCGGCTCGCCCTGACCGAACGGCAACACAACGCCGCTGCCACATACCCCTACGCGAACTCGCCGAGGCGTGTGTAGCTTCTTTGTGCGCGGGCTGCGCCTGCGCCTGCGCCGCGCGCCTGGCCGCCGAGGATCCCCCGGGGCCGGCAAAGAAGGCTCTGGTGAAGCCCGCAGGAGGGCCGAGAGTGCCGCCTCCATCTTCATGCAGCACCGGGACCACCACCGGGCCGCGCCGCGGCGCACTTGGGGTCGTCGGCACTGAAGGGGTTAGAGAGAGAACGAGAGAGGCGAGGAGGAGCAGCAGGAAGCGACGGCGCGACGCCAGCGCCACCGTCCGCTTTCACTGAGTTTTACCGGTTCGGCGTGCTGCGCTTTGCTTTAACGAGCTCAACCCCGCCCAGGTACGCTCTACGCTCTGGTGGGTCCTACCGGAACCAGCCCACCGCCGCCGCAGGTCGGTCTGGGTTAGGGGGCAGACACAACCATTCAACCTTCTCCTTCCAAAATGCTTCCCACCCCTACCCCCTGCCGCCGCCGCCGAAGTGCCTTTCTTCACCCACAGCCCTAAATCCTCCACCACCACCACCACCACCCCGTTTCCCCCGTTACAGACGAACAACCGAATAGAGAGACACGGCAGGGAAAGGGAAAGGGCAGGGCAGGGAAGGGGAGACGAGGCCACGGCGGACATCTGCAGACGTCACGGTGGGGTAGGGGTGGGGTAAGGCGTGCACACGCCAGCCCGCGGGACCGAGTTTACTTGCCTTGGTTTGCCCCGCAAAAGGCACAACAGGGCCAGCGAGCGCTGGGGAAAGGGGGCGGGGGAGAGGGGACTTTAATTTGGTAAACGGTAAGTGCGCTCCCGGCGCCATGAGATTCGAGGGAAGTGGGTGGGAGAGGGGCGCAGTGGAGGCGCGGGGAGGGGCAGGGCGGGGGAGAGGGCGGGCACGGAAGGCCGAGATGCGGTGAGATATGAATGTCAGCGTCTTTCTGTTCGCCCGGCGGTCTGGTCCGCGCCAGTCTGGTGGTGTGCAGCCTCTCCATCGCGGTGGTTCATCATGTCGACGACCTACGCCGCGGTCTCGACGGCCACCACGACGGCCGCCACCTCGATGGGCGCCGCCACCTCGATGGACGCCGCCACCTCGATGGGCGACGTCGACGCGACCATCCCGGTGCTGGACGCGGCGCTGGGCGCGGGTGCGGCCTTCGACATGGAGTTGACCTTCCACCCGGCCGACTACACGCTCTTCGTCCTCATGATGCTCATGTCGGCGCTGATCGGCGTGTACTACGGCTGCTACAAGCGGCAGGACTCGGTGTCCGAGTACCTGCACGGCGGCAAGACCATGTCCGTGCTGCCCGTGGCCATGTCGCTCATCTCCAGCAACATATCCGGCATCACCATGCTGGCGGTGCCGGCCGAGATGTACCTGTACGGCACGCAGTTCGCCCTGCTCGGCATCATGGTCTTCCCCGCCGTCATCGTGGTCATGTACTGGTTCCTGCCCATGTTCTTCAACCTGCAGTGCAACTCGTCCTTTGAGGTGAGGCGGTGGATGGAGGTTGGCCTGACCAACTCCTGTCCTCGCCAGCACAAGTGCGCTGCGCTAAACCCCCACCCCAAACCCCACTCCCTTTTCTCTCTTCATAACTCTCTCTTATTCTCTTTTATGTTTGTTCCTGCAGTACTTAGAAATGCGGTTCGACCGACGTGTTCGTCAGTTGGGCTCGTTCCTGTTCGCACTCGGACAAGTGAGTTACACATTTCAGTTTCTTTATTCTCATATACCGGGTGGCTGACTAACCCTGCTCACTTCTGTAGTTATGCTGCACCGCATGCACGAGTGCGGGCGGGTTGCCTACTCGCTCGGCTCTGCGGGCGCTGTGGAAAGGGGCGATAGGCAAGCCCGCCCGTGCTCGTGCATGCGGTGCGGTACAGTTTACCTATAGAAGTGCGCGGCGTGAATCAGCCACCTGGTTTGAATGAAAAGGCAATTACTACACAAACAACCCAACCGGGTGCTTCTCCCTCCAGCTCCTGTACATGCCCGTGGTCATATACGTTCCCTGTCTGGCGCTGAACCAAGTCAGCGGCATCAGCGTGCACCTCATCAGCCCCATCGCGTGTCTCATCTGCATCTTTTACACCACCCTGGTGAGTGTCACGACCCCACGACCGTACCTGCGGCCTTCGCGCCCACGCACACACACACAAAACAGGGGAGGATGGTTGTCTGCGAGTCGCGTTTTATCAACAGCGTTCTCACCGCCGTGTACACAAGTTACGCAGCACCCTGTTGAAGCAAACAGCGCCCTAATCTCGCATTGTTCTCGCGCAGGGCGGAGTCAAGGCCGTCATCTGGACCGACGCACTCCAGCTCTTCCTGTTGGTGCTGGCCTCCGTGGCCGTCATCGTCCTGGGGGTCGTCCGCCTCGGGGGCCTGGGCGTCCTCTTGGAGAGGTCCTTGGAGGGCGGGCGCATCGAGTTCTTCAAGTGAGTATGGGGCCCAGCCTCATATGGTCCGCCGACATCCCCGACTCGACACTCCTCCGTACTCTGACTGATTGCCGTCCGTACGCAGCATGGACCCCAACCCGTACACGCGCTGCACATTCTGGAACGTCGGCGTGGGCGCGTGCGTCACCATCATCCTGAACATGGGCGCGGGACCGTCCTCGGTGCAGCGGTTCCTGAGCGTGCCGACGCTGGCCGACGCGCGCCGCACCTCCGTCTACCTGGCGTTCGGCTACTTCCTCACCAAGCTCTTCAGCGTGCTCACCGGCCTCATCATCTTCGCGAGCTACTTCTACTGCGACCCGCTGGACAAGAGCGTGGGCGCGGTGCGGAAGGGCGACCAGCTGGTGCCGTACTTCGTCATGGACGTCGGCCGGGACTACCCGGGGCTGTCGGGGCTGTTCGTGGCGGGCGTGTTCAGCGCCGCCCTCAGGTGAGCAGCAGCGTGCCTGGCCGAGTCCATGAAGTACCGTGCCGTTGTAGAGTGTGGGCGAGCAGACGCTTACCGACCAGTGTGTACTTACTGTGAGTTCTGTCTCAGCACCATGTCCGGCGGGCTCAACACGCTCTCTGGCACGCTGTACACCGACTTCATCGAGAAGTACCTGCCCAAAAAAGTGTCGGATGAGCGCGCCTCGACGCACATGAAGCTCGTGTCGCTGGTCATCGGCGCGTTCTGCGTGGGCATGATCTTCGTCGTGGAGAACCTGGGCGGCGTGCTGCAGGTCGCCATCAGCTTCATGGGCATCACGGCGGGCGCCGCGTACGGCCTCTTCTTCCTGGGCATGTTCTTCCCCACGGTCAACAGCAAGGTGAGGGGTGGCGGCGGCAGCGGTGCGGTGAGCGCGGGGGCCGGAGAGTCGCCAGTAACTGAGAACCTTCTGCAGGGCGCGCTGGTGGGCGCGTACACGTGCCTGGTCGTCATGGTGGTGACCGTCGGAGGCAACTCCCTGGCCATGTACAACGACTCCCTGAAATACCCGCACCTGCCGACAAGGACGGACGGCTGTCTTCCCAAGTAAGTCTACCGGAATCACAGTTGTTTGTTTCTCCCACCCACCCCCTCCTCTATTTTTAAGCGCGGCCTTTTACGCAAACTTGCAATCTTGATCAGCTCGACGCTGGACGCCAATTTCCCGACGGCGTCCCCTGACGCTCCCTCACCCCACGATGCCGACGTTTTCCCGCTCTTCAAGGTAAGTTCAGAGGCACGGCCCCGCCACTACCAACACCTCGCGGACAACCCTCACTCACGGCCTGTGTCCTCGTGCCCTCCCGCCAGGTGTCGTACCTGTACTTCAGCGTGCTCGGCGTCGCCGTGACCACGGTCGTGGCGCTGTGCGTGTCGGCCTGCACCGGCGGCAACAACCTGCAGACGGCCGACCCGGACCTGTTCTCGCCGGCCGTGGCGCGCTTCCTGCCAAGGCACCGGAAGAACGCCAAGGAGGCCGCGGCCGCCGCGGCCGCCGTCACCATGAAGGAGTACGAGGCCGTGCCCGGCGCGGACAAGTGAGCCGGGCCCGAGGAAGTGTATTCCCGTGGAGAAGGTCGTCGGGGCCCTCCTGGGAGGCCAGGCACACACCACCTCCGGCCACCGGCCCGCCGCCCCCAGGGCCGGCGCCCCCTGCCTCTAAACTCGTCCAGTACCTCGTCCCGCCCCTCGGACACACCGGGGACGCAAAGGTGGGACCGGGGCAGGCAGGCAATCCCGAGGAGGACGCCGCCCCAACGCCTCGACTCGACACGCCGAATGTGTAATGTGTAATGGTGCCCGTCCCTTCCTCCCCCGGCCACTTGCGAGCCGCGGCCCTTTAGCAGGAGGCCGGGGAGGGGTGGAGAGAGGGCCGCACCACCGCGACCCGGAGTGCATTAAGGGGAGGGCTCTCTGTGTACACCTTCAAGACCTTCGGGGGGTGGGACGAACCAAGACGGGGGTCGACCGAAGCGAGCAGCAGCGGTGGAGGCGAGGCGATCCCTCACTTCCTGCGATGGAATAAAATTACTGTATTACGACCCCACCGC